TCTCTCTCTCTCTCTCTCTCTCTCTCTCTCTCTCTCTCTCTCTCTCTCAAAATAAATGCATAATCTTAAAAAACAAACAATGTAGTTTCAATTCAATTTGACACTATATTACATTAGGTAGGAATTTTTTAAGTTTTCTTTTAATTCCAGCTAATTAACATACAGTATAGTATTTCTTTTAAGTGTAAAATATAGTAATATAACACTTCCATATAGCACCCTATGCTCATCACAGCAATTGCACTCCTTAATCCCTGTCATCTATTTAACCCATCCCCACACCCACCTCCTCTCTGGTAACCATCAGTTTGTTCTCTATAGTTAAGGGTCTATTTCCTGGTTTGCCTCTCTCTCTCTCTCTCTCTCTCTCTCTCTCTCTCTCTCTCTCTCTCTCTTTTAATCCCTTTGCTCATTTGTTTCTTAAATTCCACATATGAGTGAAATCCTACACTATATGTCTTTGTCTAACTTATTTCACTTAGCATTCACTTAGTTCCATCCATATCATTTTAAATGGCAAGATTTCATTGCATTTTGTTTGTTTTCAGGAGTAGAATTTAGTGATTTATCACTTACATATATCACCTAGTGCTCAACATGACAAGTACCCTTCTTAATACCCATCACCCATTTAACCCGTCCCCCACTTAACCACTTCCCTCCATCAACCCTCAGTTTGTTCTCTGTTGTAAAGAGTCTCTTATGGTTTCTCTCTCTCTCAATATTTCATTCTTTTTTATGGCTGAGTAATATTCCAGTGTGTGTGTGTGTGTGTGTGTGTGTGTGTGTGTGTGTGTGTGTAGACATACATACATCCCATATCTTCTTTATCCATTCATCAGTTGATGGACACTTGGGCTATTTCCATAGTTTGGCTATTGTAGGTAATGCTGCTATAGAAACTGTATAAATATTGTATAAATGCCGCTATGTATCTCTTTGAGTTAGTATTTTTATATCCTTTGGGTAAATACCTAGTAGTGCAATTGCTCAGTTGTAGGGTTGTTCTATTTTTAACTTTTCAAAGAAACTCCATACTGTTTTGCACAGTGGCTGCACCAGTTTGCATTCCTACCAGCAGTGCAAGAGAATTCCCCTTTCTCCACATCCTTGCCAACACTTGTTGATTTTAGCCATTCTGACAGGTGTGAGGTGATACCTCATTTTAGTTTTTATTTGAATTTCCCTGATGAGTGATGTTGAGCGTCTTTTCATTTGTCTGTTATTCATCTGGATGTCTTCTTTGGAAAATGTCTATTCATATCTTCTGTCCACTTCTTAACTGGATAATTTGTTTTTTAGGTGTTCAGTTTGATAAGTTCTTTATATATTTTGGATACTTTATCAGATATGTCTTTTGCAAATATCTTCTCCCATTCCATAGGCTACCTTTTAATTTTGTTGACTGTTTCCTTCACTGTGCAGAAGCTTCTTATTTTGATGAAGTCCCAATAGTTTATTTTTGCGTTTGTTTTCCTTGCCTTAGGAAGGAAGCACCTATAAAGAAGGTGCTACAACTGATGTCAGAAAGGTTGTCGCTTCTGTTCTCTTCTAGGATTTTTAAGGTTTCAAGTCTCACATTTAAGTCTTTAATCCATTTTGAACTTATTTTTCTGATTGGTGTAAGAAAGTGGTCCAGTTTCCTTCTTTTGCATGTAGGTTTCCAGTTTTCCCAGCACGATTTGTTGAAGAGATGGTCTTTTTCCCATTGGATATTCCTTCTGCTTTGTTGAATATTAACTGACAATATAGTTGTAGGTTCATTTTTGGATTTTCTATTCTGTTCTATTGATCTGTGTGTCTGTTTTGTGGCAGTTTTGATTACTACAGCTTTGTAATGTAACTTGGAAGTCCAGAATTGTGATGCCTCCAACTTTGCTTTTACTTTTCAAGGTTGCTTTGGTATTCTGAGTCTTTTGTGGTTCCATACAAATTTTAGGATTCTTTGTTCTAGTTCAGTGAAAAATGCTGTTGGTATTTCAGTAGGGACTTTATAAAATGTATAAATTGCTTTGGGTAGCATAGACATTTTAACAATTTATGCTCTTCCAATCTGTGAGCATGGACTGTCTTTCCATATTGTCATGTCATCTTCAGTTTCTTTCATCAGTGTTTTTTAGTTTTCACAGTACAGTTCTTTCACCTCTTTGGTTAGGTTTATTCCTAGGTATCTTATTGTTTTCAGTGTAGTTGTAAATGGGATCGATTCCTTAATTTCTCTTTTTGCTGCTTCATTATTGGTGTATAGAAATGCAACAGGTTTCTGTACATTGATTTTCTATCCTGCTACTTTGCTGAATTTGGGCGTCAGTTTTAGCAGATTTTTGATGGAGTATTTCAGTTTTCTATATAGAGTAACATGTCATCTGCAAATAGTGAAATCTTACTTCTTTCTTGCTGATTTTGGGTGCCTTTTATTTCTTTTTATTGTCTAATTGCTGAGGCTAGGTCTTCCAGTACTAGGTTAAATAACAGTGGTGAGAGTGAACATCCCTGTCTTGTCCCTGACTGTAGAGGAAAAGCTCTCAGTTTTTGGCCATTGAGAATGATATTCACTGTTTTTCATATATGGCCTTTATTATGTTGAGGTATGATACTAGCTGTTTTTCGTATATAGCCTTTATTACATTGAGGTATGTTCCCTCTAAACCTACTTTGTTAGA